GTATTAGATTCAGCAGAAAGGCAGAATCCACAAGGGGTGGCCCGGAAAACATGTTCGTTTTGAGACTCCTGTAAGCAAGTTGATGCATTCCTTGCCACATCTACAAGTTCTGGCACCTCCGTCACATGCGCGCTTATTATTGTCAAAGTTGGGATGAGCTTGGAAAGAGAAAATCGGGGCAGCCAAGACAGGGCTTTTCCATGTGGTTTGGGATATATGACCCCAGACCAGCGACCACTCACCCCTTCACTATCTTGTACTCCCCCAACCGCATTACTTGCTTCGTCTAAAGCACTCACCAATATACTATCTCCAGATATATTCTATTCTTTTTCACCTCAGTTTCAATAGGATCCGATTATTGCAAGGAGCAGTATGGGGCTGTTCTTCGTGACCACCCTACATGAATCTGCACAAAGAACTCCAGCGATGCCTCTACGTTGGCTAAGTTCAACAAGATCGAAGAACAGGTGAAGTCGTTTTCAAGGTTTTCCCATCTCTTCTCGCACTGTATATTGCTACCCGAAAAGGTCGTACTGGTGGCAAGCGGGTCGCAGCACAGCCACTCGGCAGGTCCATAAATAAGGCCAAGTAGCCCACTCGTCTCTGGTCCCTGGCTCACGCCCCGGGACGTTTTCCTCCGAATATATTCTCATTTACCACTATATTTCCGCATATTATATATGGTTGTAGCCCATGTTACGCCACCCAGCTCATTCCTGGCGATTCGTATGACAAAGTTGCAAACCTTCGGGATACAACATCCATGTACTTGTCCCATTCGGACTGTTCTAACACAGTAATGAAGTGGTGAACTTGTCTGGCTTGAATGCGCTGTGTCTTGCCTTTAACCTTGTCGATATGGACAAGGTATCCTTTCCCAGTGGCAATATCTCTGTTCATTTCGGATCTCTTACATTGATACTCACATATAGGTCTACAAAAGGCTAATTATCTCTATCCGGTGTTTGAAAGCAACCCGACTATTCTCATTAGATTTGCTGGAACTCTTCATCACATGGCTACTGGTGGCATGAGTATCATCAGAGATGCAAAAGACTTGCTTATGTGTTATCCAGATGGCAATCCGCTAGCTCCCCAGTGCTCTGTAGCCCAGGCTGCCCACATATTAGAGAAACCATCAGCTGTTGAGAGGGCATTTATCTACAATTTCAACTGGCCGCTGCCCAAGCGCATCACCTGGAAGCAACAAAAATAGCTTGTGTGGAATTCCAGTATTGTTAATAAGCTAAGTCTGGCTAACCTCATCATGCAACTGCCTTTGCTAAAATACCTAGATATCCGCCTCTTCTCAATGAATTCCAACGGTACTGGTCAAACTCTGCCTCCTAGTAAGGCTCAAGCCAAACACAATATTTATAGCCAGTTAAACCTAGCGAACGTGTAGTCGATTAGTGCTTGCTCCAGGAGCTTGCATTATTTCCCCAAATAAAATTCTTTACTGAGAATGCCTGCGAATTGGTCCAGTTTTTCCCTGCTCTCAAATGTCTCAGTATCAACCCTGAATATATCAAGAGGGTCAGCACAGCAATTAGCAGCAATCATCAGCTCTGGCACTATATTGGTGTCCGAGCTTTAGATATTTCCAGGCTGTGTTGACATTGGAGTGCCGATCCACTCCCACGTCACCATGCCAACAACCAAACCACATAAAATCAGACCTCAGACAGACCGGACCCTCCCCTTTTCCTTCAGTCAATCTTGTTTCACTTTTATTTGAGCTCACATACACGCTCGTAAACACCCGTCCCATTCCCAAGGTTAACAGGCTGGATTTGACATGTTTGTATTCTGAGTAAAAGAATAAACCTGTGGAAACAATCTGTATCTCTGTCACATACGGCCTTTTATCTGTGCGTCCTGGGGGTGTGCTTTGTTCCCTCGTGGCTAGTCTCACATGCCCATACACTACATCATCCCCCTCTTATCTGCAGATATGTCTCTTCATCAATGTCCTCGTTCAGTTCTGCCTTTTTTTGTATCCCTATCGACGCTTTCGACCACATCGCTTTCGGTATCAGCTCGCCAATTGTTGCACGTTGTTGTCATTCGTTATGGATCATTTCTGTCAGTTCTTCGCCGTTGGGGAAGGATAGTTTGTATGTGTAGAAGGGGCCACAGCGTTTGACCTGGAATGGCCCGTAAAATCTGGCGTTGAACTTTTGTCTCTTCATGTTCTTGACCATGACCCAGTCGCCGATCTCAAATCGTTGGTAGTCTCCTCTTTGTCGATATTGCTCTTCTACCTTGTAGGCCGCGGCAACTTGGACTTCCGTAGCCTGGGCTCTAGCTCCTTTGAGGAAGTCAAATCTGCGAAGCTGTTGGGTATATCGATCTGTATTGTCCGTCTTACTGTTCGGGACTGCTGGCGGGGTGACATCAGTTGGTAGTCTTGGGTTGGTACCATATACCAATTGGAATGGCGAGAATTTGGTGACACTGTGTGTGCATATGCATGTGGCCCAGATAACTGTCTCGAGGTACTCGTCCCAGCGATGTTTGTTCTTGAAGGCATATTTGTTCAAAGCTGTACCGACTATTCCATTGGCACGTTCCGTTTTGCCATTTGACTGTGGGTGATATGCCGATGTGAAACATTGCTGGATGTTCTGTCTCTTGCGGTATTCGCGGACTAGGTCGGCTCGGAACTGTGGGCCACGATCTGAGATAATTTCCTTGGGCATGCCATATGTGAGTACGATCTCCTTGTGGATGAAGTCGGCAACCACTTTGACTGTTGCCTCTGGGACGGCCTTGGCTACTGGAGGCCATTCACAAATATAAATAGTTAAAGAAACTAAATAACTATTATCAGAATAACCAATTAACAAATAAGAAATCAATTACTAGCAGTAGATAAATATTTTAAAATACAGAATGTTTAGTAGTGGCCAAAAAGATTCTAGCAACTAGATTAACAAATAAACAAAGATGCCAAATATGGTGCTTCTACGAAACCCCCTTCGGCATCCTGAAAAATTTCAGTTGATACACAATTAATATGCTTCTACTGAGATAGAGGCTGTGTCCCAAGAAATCAACTGAAATTTTTCAGGATGCCGAAGGGGGTTTCGTAGAAGCACCATATTTGGCATCAGAACAAGAAAACAATAAAAATATTAATAATTATGAAATAGCTAACCAATTCTGACTGATCTCCTTATAGAACTAGACTTAATCAAAAGGTTCCATTTTAAAACATCATGTTCAAGTCATCAAGTCATTATCATCCTATTTATAACTATTTTTCTAATACCAAGTAATCATATATATTATCAATTTTAAAAAGAATCAAACTATGCCATTTTAAAAAATCGTAATAAATTCATCAAGTTGTTAGAACCCCATCTGTAATAAGTAGATATGCACCAAGCAATCATATATACAATCATTTTTAGAAAGATTCAAACTGTGCCATTTTAAAACATCATATTCAAGTCATCAAGTCATTAGTACTCCATCTGTAATTAATCAATATGCACCAAGCAATCATATGTATCATCAATTTTAGATTGAAGGAATCGATTTTGAATTTCAACAATAGATGCTTCTAACTCTGCTTTTTGGGGCAAAGTATGTATTGGTTCCACTTGTGTTGACTTATCATGTGTATCAGGGTAATCAAAGTTACTCATAACCCAGAGTGAGTGATGATGATCAATATGTACATCACTGTTTGCTAGTAACTTCTTCATATTATAGAGTAAGCAGCATAACTTCATTTGCACATTGTAAACATTCCTATTCTTTACTCTAACAATCTCCCTGTTTGACAGCCTTTTGAATGTATTGCCTAGTTCTCCAAATGTATTTTCTACCATTGAACGGAATGATCCAAGATGGGAATTATATTCAGCTTCTGTTTCTGATAAACTTGTTCCTCTCTGCTTTCTTACTGGTAAACAAAAGTTGTGCAGTCCAAAAGTATCCTGCTCTTCTTCCTCAGTCATCTCTTCCAAAATACTTTGTGGATAGCCACCATCAAGCACAATGCAATCAATAGGTGATATGTTCTTCAGTAGCCCCATGTTCTTAATCATTCTTGAGTCTGGGTGATCTCTACAGTCTTCAGTTGGTGAAACAAGTAGAACCATTCCATTCACATCAATGCATACTTGTGTGTGATATCCTGATTTTTTCAATTTGAATGAATAGAGATCTGGTTTGTATGCTCCATTGTGTAGTGCTCTTGAGTCATGGCCATCTAACATTAGTGTTACATGTTTAAACCCTTGTGGATTCTGTATCTTTGCTGCAAAGACTCGTAGTTCTGGAGTTGAAAACATTGTTTGCAGATAGTATGTTAGTTTCTTGTTCAAATCTTTCATTTCAGAAATATAGAACATATTGTGAATAGCTTGATAGCTGCTTCTTGGAATGAATCTTTCCATTTCATTGATTGACAATCCTTCAACAAGTTGGTACAAGATGAGCAATCCTTTCTCTACACTTCTGTAAGGACATGGATAATGAGTGCAACCAAACAAAACATTCAGAAAGAAGAAAACAGGAATCATCCCTAGATGTTTAAGAAGTGTATCTTTTATATGCTTAATTTCTCTTACTTCATGAACTTCACTTCTGTGATATTTTGTGGGCTTTAAAATTACCCAGTCATCATTCAGAAACTTCCATTTGTTTGTGTACAGCTTATGAAACTCCCTTTCTCTGAGTTCTTGTAATTGATGATTCATCATTGTGAGGCACTCATAAATTTAAAAGTTGTCATTTATTACAATGGGCCCATTCTACACTTTCTTCACTACAAAACTTGCTGACCTTGATGAGCAAGAGAGAGAAAAGCTTGCACAACTACTAACTAAGAATTTCAGTATGAGCAGGAAATTGTCAGTATATATCAGAGCATGGATTGAGAGTGTTTCAGAAGATAAGGGTGTTACTATTAAGCATGTGTTTGATGTATGCAACTACAGTTGTGCAGATATGGAAGTAATGGTTGCTAACTGCCCATTTTAAAACTAGATCCTCGCAATATGGATAATACGATTATGAATTCTAGCTACTTTAAGTACTACTTCTTGATTTGGTTCACCAATAATAGAAGCAATATATTCACCAAATGGACTACTTGCTTGTATTTTGATATGAGTGTGAGTACTGCTAACTACTTCATTGTGAATCATATAGATATCTAGATAGTAGAATGGCAACCCTCTAAAAGTATATAAGAAATAATGACTAACTAGGAACTCATCTCCAGCATGAAGTATGTTATAAGCAACTTTGTATCTAGCTGGCCTAAGATCAGTATTTTCTCTTATGTATATGGGTTCTAGATCATCAAGTTCAATGTTGCTGATATCAGCAATAAGATCATCTATTCCTAGGTCATCAGCATCCTCACTAATACTTGAGAGAGTTGAGAGACAAACTTTCTCTCTTGCTTGTTGAGCAGTTAGCCAATCAATATGCATCCCACGATAGTTTACAAGTCCCATTTCAGCAAATGTGTGTTGTTGTCTTTCTCTTGAAGCAACAGGCCAGAAAGAATTCCTCTGACTTGGAACAATGGTGATGTTTGTGTTATCTCTTCTTAGAACAACTTCTGATTCAACAGGACCACTGCTGGTAGCATATGTTAGAAGAACAGTTGGGTGCCCATTAAATGTAAGATTGGAAACAACAGTCATCACATCCTCATTCTCTTTCAACTTTTTAGCTATTCCTTGTTTCTTCATAGTTGTCCTATTGAACCAATGGCAGTAACCAAGAGCATGTTCTTTATGGAAGTAAATGCATAACATATTTTTGTTATAAATCTGATCAACTAGTGCCATCCATTGCTTTTCATAAGATGTTGCAAATGTCCTACAATCACTAAGAAACTCCAGTGTACTAGCAATTAAGTTTATGTTCCATTCTACTTCTTTCAACTCAGGAGAGTGAACAGTAAGCTCAAGTCTCATTAATCCTTCATTCCTGCAAGCAACAAGTGTTTCACCAAATTGCTGAGAAGTTGGCATCACTAGCTCTGATAGCTTAGAAGTAAGTTGATTACGAACCTCACCACTTTCTAGAAGTTGAACAAATTTATTATACAACTTGTTCCTAATTTTTATTTCATCTTCATCAGTAAACCAGCTAATACAGTTTGCTCCAACTTTATCTTCATCGGGGGTCATTCCTGGACTTGTAAATTTTAGTAAATTACAATTTTGTTAGATAGTTATTTGAATAATCGTTTTCAGAACTATTTTTTGCTACTAGATATTTTTGTAACAGATATTTATAATTGTTGTGTCCAGAATGTTTTTGTGTGTATAATTGATTTTAAAAATACAAATATTTTTTTTGCCATTTCACCCAAACCGCCATCGGCATCTTGGAAAAGTTTCAGTGAACATAATTTCCTTGTGGTTGCTTAGCCACATCTATTGAGATATTGACTTTTGTTGCCCAATGATAATTAACCCCAAATATGCAAAGGTTTTTCTTTCTGGTTGAAATTATGTTCACTGAAACTTTTCCAAGATGCCGATGGCGGTTTGGGTGAAATTTTTATTTCACTGAAATTGCCAATAGTTTAAACATGTATAAATAGTTGTTATGCAGATAACTAGCTCTGAATGACCTCCTTATTGAAGCATTTTCTATCAATGCAAATTTCTTACTGAGAATTCCTATTTTAAAAGTTACTTATGACATGTCTACATAGAAGTTCATTGACTCATCAATTTTAGCTTGAATCAGTCTATCTTGTAGTTCTCTCATTGAAGCTTCTAACTCTACTTTTTGTGGTAAAGTACTTCCAACTTCAGCATGTGTTGATCTCTCCTGGTTGTTGCTAGGGTAGTCAAAGTTAGATAGAACCCAAAGTGTGTGGTGATGTTCAACAGGAACTTTACTAGCTGCTAGGATCTTCTTCATATTGTAGAGTAAGCAACAGAGTTTAAACTGCACATTGTATACAGTTGTGTTTCTAATTCTCACAACTTCTCTATTTGATAGTCTCTTAAATGTGTTACCTAGTTCTCCAAATGTGCTCTCAACCATTGATCTAAATGACCCAAGTTTGCTATTATATTCTAACTCTGCTTCACTTAAGTTGGTTCCTCTTGGCTTTCTAACTGGTAAGCAAAAGTTATGCATTCCAAAATTCTCATTCTCTTCTGCTTCTGTTAACTCTTCCAGAATACTTTGAGGATAACCACCATCTAAAACAACACAATCTACTGGAGAGATGTATTTCAATAGTGACATATTCTTAATCATCTTAGAGTCTGGGTGGTCTTTACATTCCTCAGTTGGTGAAACAAGGACAACCATTCCATTCAAATCAATGCAAACTTGTGTTCTATATCCTGACTTCTTCAACTTGAAGGAATAAAGATTTGGTTTGTATGCACCATTATGTAGAGCTCGTGAGTCATGTCCATCTAACATAAGAGTTATATGCTTAAAGTTTGTTGGATTCTGAATCTTTGCTGAGATCACTCTTAGTTCTGGAGTGGAGAACATTGTGTGCAAGTAGTGTGAAAGCTTCTTGTTCAACTCACTTAACTCTGAGATATAGAACATATTATGAATTACTTGGTAGCTGCTCTTAGGAATAAACCTCTCCATCTCATTGATTGATAGCCCAGCAACTAACTGGTACAAAATCAAGAGTCCTTTCTCAACATTTCTGTAAGGACATGGATACTGCTTTCCACCAAATAGAACATTTAAGAAGAAGAACACAGGGATCATTCCAAGTTGCTTTACAAGTGTATCTTTGATGAGCTTTATTTCTTTCACTTCATGAGCTTCACTCCTATAGTACTTCTGTTGTTTATGTACTAACCAGTCTTCATCAAGAAATCTCCACTTTGTTGTGTAGAGCACATTCCACTCCTTCTCTCTTAATTCTTGTAATTGATTGTCCATCTGTGTGAGGTAGTCATAAATAAAAATTTCAACTTTTATCAATTTTAGAAAATGGGATCATTCCAGAACTTCTTCAAGCAACATTTAGCTGAGATGTGTGAGGAAGAAAGAGATATGCTTACTCTGCTACTTATTCATGACTTTGATATGAGTGATGACTTAGCAATACAAGTGCGTAATTGGATCCAACATATTGCTACTGATTGTGAGGTAAGGGTTGAACATGTGTATGATGTTTGTCATACTTTCCATAGAGATATGGAGAGAATGGTTGCTTATACTATGTTTTAAAATGGCTGCTATTCAACTGTGATTGTTCTATATCCCACACTTATAACTCTTAGATATATTTGTTGCTTTCTTTCTCCTAACTGTTGAGAAATTGCTTTTCCAATAGAACTGTCAACTGGTGTCCTAATAAGAGTTGGCTGTTTATCTCTCCCTTTAATAAGAATATCAACATAGAAGTATGAATGTCCTCTAAAAGTATGGAGTGCATAATGTGTAGCTGTAAATTCATCACCTAACTGAAGAACATTGTAAGCAACTCTATACAATGAAGGTTTCAGATCTGTATTCTCTTTGATAAATATATGGCTAGTTTCATCAAGTGTGATATTGTCTATTGCTGTTGTTAATGCATTGATGTTTTCCTCTTTTGCAGAATATTTATCCTCTGACATTTTTGATAGACATATCTTACTCTTTGCTTGCTTACTATCTATCCAACCAATATGCATTCCTTTATAGTTAACTAATCCCATCTCTTCAAAAGTGTGATACTGCTTAGTTGTAGGATAAGTTGACCAGAAGGAGTTTCTCTGACTTGGAACAATAGTTATATTCTCATCAACTCTTCTAAGAACTTTTTCTGTTTCAAGACCACTCTCAAGTGAATCATATATTTGATAAAGTGTAGGTCTGTTGTTGAATGAGAGATTAGCAACAACTACCATTGGATCATCATTCTTGTTTAGTTTCTTAATAATTCCTTGCTTCTTTGATGTGATAGAGTTAAACCAATGACAATATGCTAGAGTATGCTGTTGTCTCACATAAATGCAAACTGTATAACAACTACTAACTTTATCAACAAGTGCTTTCCACTGCTTTTCATAAGAAGTTGCAAATGTTCTGCATTCATTCATAAACTGAACTGTGTTAAGAAGCAAGTTACTATTCCATTCAACTGTTTGCATCTGAGAAGAATGTACAGTTAGTTCTATCCTAGTCAAACCAGAGTTTCTGCAAGCATACAATGTTTCTCCAAAGTTGTGCAAAGTTGGCATTACAAATTCAGAAAGTTTGGAACTAAGAGGATTACGAACTTCACCACTCTCAAGAAGCTGAATAAACTTGTTATAAATTTTGTTCTTAACTTTAACATCTCCTTTCTTTGTAAACCAGCTAATACAGTTAGAGCCAGACTTGTGTAAATCATCTACAACATCTTTCTTTTCAACTCCTCTTTCTAAAAGGTATTTATAGATAATATTTCTAGATGAGATATTCATACAATCCATTGTGATGTCATAATTCTGTAGAAATATTTTGTGATCAGCCATAGTAGCAAACTTCACTGTTAACAAAGAACTAGTTATTGCAATGTTTGGGGTAGATACTTTGTAAATAGCAACTGGTCCATATTGCTCACTAATCTTGCTTCTAACATACTTATAACCAAAACCTTCTCCAAATACTTTATGCAATCTAACACTAGCTGACTTCTGCTTCACCTTTATATCTGATTCACTGCATTTCTCAACAACAACCTCAACAATGAATGAGTCAACAAATATTTCAGAAGAGTGCTTAAATCCAAGTTGCTCTACACCTCTAGCAGTATACCTAGCATCAGCAACATCAGGCATATTTCTTCTTTCTGACAACACTCTTGTTAGTAATGCTCTTAGTTCACTTTGGAAGGGGGTCATTCCTGGACTTGTAAATTTTAGTAAATTACAATTTTGTTAGATAGTTATTTGAATAATCGTTTTCAGAACTATTTTTTGCTACTAGATATTTTTGTAACAGATATTTATAATTGTTGTGTCCAGAATGTTTTTGTGTGTATAATTGATTTTAAAAATACAAATATTTTTTTTGCCATTTCACCCAAACCGCCATCGGCATCTTGGAAAAGTTTCAGTGAACATAATTTCCTTGTGGTTGCTTAGCCACATCTATTGAGATATTGACTTTTGTTGCCCAATGATAATTAACCCCAAATATGCAAAGGTTTTTCTTTCTGGTTGAAATTATGTTCACTGAAACTTTTCCAAGATGCCGATGGCGGTTTGGGTGAAATTTTTATTTCACTGAAATTGCCAATAGTTTAAACATGTATAAATAGTTGTTATGCAGATAACTAGCTCTGAATGACCTCCATCATCAAGAATATCATTGCTACTGATTTCATTATCAAGAAGAAATTCCTTAATCACAGCCCTAGAAGATATGTTTAAACAATCCATTGTAATATCATAGTTCAGAAGAAATACATGTTCCTGATGCATCCTAAGAAAGATATCAGTTAGTGCAGGATCAGCTATTGCAACATTTGGAGCAGATACTTTGTAAACAGAGACTTTACCATTTCTTGCACTTGTCATGCACTTCATATACTTAAATCTGTATCCATCACCAAAAACTCTATGCAATCTAACAAATGGAGTAATATTGTTAATCTGATCTATAAGAGCATATGATTCAGGTATCTCAACAACACATGAATCCATAAAGATATCAGATTGCTGAACAAATCCTTGTTGTTCAATGCCATTACTAGTATATCTTGCATCAGATATATCAGGCATATTATCTCTATTCTTCAACTGAAGTCCCAAAAGGGAGTTAAGATGTACTCCCAAGGAGGCCATTCACAAATATAAATAGTTAAAGAAACTAAATAACTATTATCAGAATAACCAATTAACAAATAAGAAATCAATTACTAGCAGTAGATAAATATTTTAAAATACAGAATGTTTAGTAGTGGCCAAAAAGATTCTAGCAACTAGATTAACAAATAAACAAAGATGCCAAATATGGTGCTTCTACGAAACCCCCTTCGGCATCCTGAAAAATTTCAGTTGAT